GAATGAATATCCCAATCCCCCAAGTCCAAATATTATCAGTCCCAGGACATTTTCGAGACTGCAGTCAGTTGCAAAAGTGAATAAAGTATTGATTTTTTAAAATGAGAACATACCATATTTGCTTAAATTTGGCTGACCAGAGCTCAATAGCCCAAGAAAAGTGAAATCCAAGAGTTATTTTGGTCCAGCCATTAGAAAGTTCTCAAATTTGTGCCCCATGGAGAGATTGTGAAAACACATTGCTGCGCCTCACCCCCAGACTTTCTGAGTGGGGCAGGGTGAAACCCAAGAATAATGCACAGAGAACCAATGCATTAGAGTCGTTTTACAATGAACCTAATGAAATGACATTTCAACCTGAACCTATTCATGCTTAGTTGCATAAGAATGGTCTGCCTTAGCTATTCTTAGAAGTGCTACACAGCCAAACTGAAGAAACAGGGAAAAAACAATTTAGAAAAAGCAGGTGAAAATTAAGGTATTAGAATAACATTATAGAATAGTTTAAAATATTTGGAAAGAAAACACATTTTTCTCTCCGACTTCCTTCTTTCAGGTATCTGGCTTAAAGAATTGGGCTTTGAGGATACCATGGTATTTTATGCAATAATATATATAATCTTGGCCAGAAGTGCTTCATTTATTTCTGGGTGATAGTCTATATATCTGAACAAGTAATTCCAATAAATCAGTATAACACCCGATGTCTTAGTTTATGGGTAAAGCCCCATTAGGGATTACAAATATAAAAGTACATTCATGAGACAGTGTTGGCAGATAGCTTAGCTAAAAATCTACTAAAGATAGCTGAAAGTCTCGTGAGACATGCTCTCTGAAATTCTCCATTTTCTATGATTAATAAAGAAGAAAATTAGTATTTCACAAAGCAAGTTCTTCGTAGTCGATGTGTATTTGGTTGACCCTCTAGTGAATTCAATCTGCTAAAGTTTAACAAAAAGTATAACACTTTCTTTTAATAGGCATTATTGTTCTTGCTTTATTTGAGATCACTCAGCTGGAACACCCGGCATGCAGTCATAAGTAAAATAGCAGCATCTGGATGGCTTCTTTTTCTACCATCTACCCTTCTAGAGGTGCCCAGCAGTAGCCTAGCATTATAGAAGCACATTAGCAAGTTGGTCAGTCAGATTTGTCTCAAGTATGTTTGTTTGTTTGTTTTTAAATGCTTACTTTTAGAAATAAAACCAAAATCTTAGGAAAGCAGAAAAGATAATGTCTCTCTCTAAAGAATGTTTTGTCAAAATCAAATCATCTGGATTTTAAGGTTCCATGTTCACCACTCAAAGAGATTTTGAATAATTTTCCAACTTTCCAGAGTTCTTTATCTATGTACTTATTTTATATATGTACCTTCAGGCAAAGCCCATCGTTCCACTCCTTCACAGTGTGAGATTTTTACCAGGGAATTGTTCACTTTCATTGAAGTAGTAAAAACATAGCCTTAGGAACAAAGATGTCAAGATATCAAAATAAGTTTGTTTTTTAATAGGAAAAAACCTAACCTCGACTTTAAAAATAAGTCTCCAATTATTAACAGACTCACTTGCTGATAATGAGTGTTTCCTCTCCGCTTATCCAGACTCTCACAAATCCTCCATACATCTTGCTATAGTAGTTGCAGGCACTGCCAATCCCCATCCACAGGAACCTGAAGTGGGAAATGAGGGGCCCAATTCCCAAATAATAGCCAGGACCTAGGAAAGTCATTGGATCACAATTAGCATCTCAGTAACACCATAAAGAGCAACTGCTTTATGTTACTGTTGTTCTTGTTCTTTTATACCTAAGTGTTCTTTTACATCATCTGATGTATATCTTTATGTACATCTGATTTACATCTGATGTAAATCACTAAATAAATGAATAAATAAATAAACCAATAAGCTTAACATGATGCTCTTTACTCCTCCATGAATGAAGGGTGGTTCCAAGCCCACACCACACTAGTTCCATTTGGTCTCAGTCATTTCAGTCTGAATGAACCGGGTTATATGTCTGCTCTTTTCTTGCCATGCTGAACGGTGTCAACGAGTTTCAAATACAAGTCAGTCACTCTGTCTAGTTACAAGCATGGAAATCTGACAGATCCGTTTGGCTGCCTAGTTTTGTCTGAAAACTTTTGATTTAAATGGGTGGGTTAGCATTAGGCTGTAGTTTTGGTGTAATCTTTTTAACTAAGAGAAACATGATCTACAAAGATAATGTCCAAACAAAGAGCATCCATTTCTTTTCTTTTTTCTTTTTTTTTTTTTAACCTTCAGAAAGGACTCAGTTTAAGAATCTTAAGCTAAATCTCATTAGGCAAAATAAAGCTAAGACTTGAGGAATAAGGCAGTGAGTCTGAACAGGGTTTAGACTACAGGTTGAGTCCAGTGATGTGGTTATACTTCCAGAGCAGTGGCCACTTACATCCTTGCTTATGCAGAGGATGGCAGAATTGTGAAGACATGAATCCTGTGAACAATTGGAGGATTTACTGTTGCTTATATCAGAGACCAAACTCGATAGCTTAATTTTACCAGTGGTGGTGAAAAGTTAGACAAAAACTTTTTGAAATGGTTTTAGGAATTTTATTTATTTATAAAGTAGTCGCTTTTCTAAATCTTTCTTCTTGAATTCCATCTGTCAATAAAGCAATTATGAAGCGCAAACATGCACAGCTGTACGAGATAGTACTTTTACACCATGGGCAAGAGTTGTATAACAATCTAAATAATATAAGCTTTTGCTTGAATCACCTAAATTATATATTTAGTCCCAGATTTGGCAAACAAGGTTTAGTCTTTACAATAGTTGGGTTAATGTGGACAAGACTGTTAGCTTTTTTTTCCTTTAACATGAAAGTCTTTGTTAATATCTACAAAAGCAAAATATTGTAAGGGTTATTAATCTTATGATTGTTCTAATAGCACTATATTATAAATAGATGACTGACTTTATATAAAATAATTTTATTAAGTTCTTAAAAAGATTTAAACAAGCAGAGCTGATTGAATATGTATTTTCTTAAAATGTCATAAGATATACCAAACTGCTATCAATTGAAATATGCATGGTAACAAAATACTTTGCTGGATATTTACTCCTTGAAACATTGTAAATGCACATTAAATGTTTTTTTAATGGATTTTTAAAGTAAATTAAACGTGTGTATAACATAAAGGATAAAGTTTTAAATGTCATTCTTAGACTATTTTAGATTGTATTTACATTTTGATAAAAATGCAAAAATATTATTGTATCACATATATTTATTCCACATGAAGTGAAACATCTAGCTATTTGGAAATAGATTTATTCAACATTTATTTACTTAATGCCAGGCTCGTGAGAAACAAAGATACAAATGAAAGGCTGCACTTTTCATTTTTTATCTAAAAGTTTGGCACCATGTAAAAAGTTTTAATATATGGGAACCATCATTCGAATATAAAATACAACAGTGCCAAGCTGTATCTACTGAAAAGAGAGATTGTGATAAACTTAGGTTGAAAACTTGAGTGTTCTAACCAGTGGAGCTAGCTTCACTTCCTTAGTGATCAACTGATTATATGTCAGCTTAATTCATCCAACAAATACTTACTGAGACCCTACTAGGTGTAGACACCAGCTCCAAGGTAGGGCCTAGAGATGGTATGATTAAGAATAACTGGGTCCCCATCAGAGACACAGGCAAGAGAGGAGAGTATGTCAGGGGAAAAAGTACATATTCAAGTAAATAACGCAATGTGATCCTTTCATTTACATGCACACCTTACACCATCCAGCTATGGAGAAACTTTGGTAGGATATTAGGGAAATATTCTGGTTGCATCCACATATTAAGCTGTTTTCTGCTTCTCAGAAATGGGCATGCAACGATTACTTATCTGGATATGCAACGATTACTTATCTGGATATGCAACGATTACTTATCTGGATGTGCAGCGATTGCAGGAGCCTCTTTCAAACCCTAAGAGGAGCAGTAAGTACTTCACTACATTTGTCACAGAAGAGACAGCCTCTGTGAAACCAACAACTGGAACCTCTCACCCGCTGTCTAATCAAGAAGCCATTGCTTTTCACTCTAGGTATATACCCTAGAGAAACCTGCACACACAAACGTTCATAATAGCACTGTTCAAAATAGCCCCAAACTGAACACACCCTAAATGTCCATCAACAGTAGAATCAGTAATTAAACCACGAGATGTTCGTATAACTGCATACCATGAGAACTACAGCTGCATGCCACAATGTGGATGAATCTTACAAGCATAATATTGAACAAAAGAAGCAAGATAGAAGAATGAGTAATCTAGGATTTAATTGCTAAAACATTTAAAACCAGGCAGAATTAAACTATATTGTTTGATGGCGTGGAATTAGATGGCAAAACTATAAAAAAACGGAGAATGATTGTCACAAAACAGAAGCATGTTTACTTCTGGGGGCAAAAGAGAGGGAGTGATTGAAAAGGCACAAGAGATGTTTTTAGGACTCTGCTAATATCTTATTTCTTATCCTGGACTGTGATGACCTATTTATTCGTGCACTTTTCTGTGAAATATTTTCTTAATTGGAATAAAGAGAATGTGTTGCCATGTCCTTTTCCCTATGGCCCCCTCTGGGGATATGAAACCCAGGGCAGAGAGGCTCTGGAGCAGAGGACCCACCTGTAAGGTTGGGGATGGCTGTGTGTCCTTGGAGAAGGGAGAGCTGCCAGGTGCCAGGTAACTGTGAGTCCTGTACAGAGATCAGTGCACTTGGGGCAATTTCCCGGAACCGAAGCTTACAAAGCCCCCAAGTAGGAATGACTCTTTCCTCTCCCAAGCTCTTGTAGTTCTTTCTGGCACTGAGCCATTGCCTATGTGTGTCATCTTTGCACCCTCCTCATAGCTGTCACCCCAGAACCTGGTATGGCAGGGCCTCTCAGTAAGTATGGACTGAAGAAGCTTAGACTTGAGTTCCAGTTTCATCACTTACTAGCTGTACAACATCTATCCTCTTTAAGTCTCAGTTTCTTTATCTGCAAAATAGGCATAAACACACCCACTTCACCAGAGTGCTGTGAGGATCACAAGAGAAAGTCAGTGTGAAGCTGCTTTGTAAACTGTAACTTACTTAAGGGCTTTGAATCATTATACCTCCTTAACTTCCTTTGGCTTTTGCTGACCCAAGCGTCCCCAAACATGTAAAATCAAGAACCCAGAGAGCCGGTGATTTGAGGGAACTGACAAAAGGAATTCAGAGGTATTGGTCAGCAAGAACCACCCCAACAAGGTCAATTTCCTCACCTTCTCTTGCCCAACCAGGAACCATGGGATCTGAATGTGTACCATTAGAGAATTCTGACCAGACCTCTCATTTCAAAGGAAAAGCTTGAACCTAGAAGCTCCCTGGTTAACAAAATGATCATCCACCTGAGATTTAGGACTTCTGGTTGCCCCTGCCACACACATGCACTCCCACTTTCCTTCTAGCTGGGGAGCTGAAGCCATTTCTCTTCTCTGGATTTTAACCCCTCACTTATAAAATGAGGAGTTTAAACTTCGTGGTTTCTCACACTTGTCATACTGGTTTTCTGGGTAAAGCGGGTCACCTCTCTGGGGCTCAGTTTCCCCTTCTGTAATACGGGTTCATATCCGTGGCTCTCAACCATGGCTGTTCATGAAAAATAACTTGGGGAGATTTTTTAAAAACATATCAACATGGGGGCCCCACTTCAGACATGGCTGAGAACCACAGCACGACGTGACCTATTGGTGTGTGGCAGCATGATTCCCCCAGCCCAAAAGTTTGGGCAGAGTGGACTGCCACTTAAGCTCCTGATCCAGAGCCTCAGAGATACCAGTTCTCACACTCACCCCCTAAACTGACCTCCTTACTCAAGGGTCCAAGGGAGTTTTACCACCACCTGCAGTATAAATGTGCTGGCTGGAAAATTACTGCTTGGCTATCGCCCATGGGAACATAGGCTATCACCCATGGGAACATAACATTCTAACAATAAGCTTTCTGCTTCTGTACCCCCGCTTGCACAACCGACCTGTGGGTCGACAGGTAGTGAATAGGAGAAAAATAGACCTTTGTGTTTAAGACAGAATGAGGAATGGGATTTAGGGCTTAAAACCCCTGCAGCTCTACATTTCGGGGCTGCTTAATTTGGGGTCTGCGTACCCCTGGCAGACCCAGCTGGCTGAATAAAGAGTGTGTTTCCTATAACTCACTGATTTCTGGTGGTCCGTGTGTCTTTCGGGGGCTGGCAGCTACAACATAAACATTTAGGGGGACTTGCATCCACCTCACCACTTTTCATAGACCCCGACCTGGGAGCCCACCAGGAAGAAGAAATCCAGTGAGAAAGGGGCAGTGGTGGGAAAGGGTTTCAAGTTAAAGACCATGGAAGAGTTCCCTCAGATCCCATCAGGTAGCAGAAAACAAAATTAACTAACATTCTGTTCAATTGAAGTAACCTAAAACACAAGGCTGAATCAAATAGAGAGACAGGCAGTCCTCTGAAAACTTTTAAAGAATTCAGACACAGGGCACTTTGCGCCAGCCCCACATTCCCACTGTAAATCGTGCTGTGATGAGGCCCATCGCACTTGGAAGTGTGTAATGACTATGCTCTTAATATATTTAGTTTTATTGTATACCTTAGGGATTGGGGGACAGATACCTGCCGTGAAGAATTGCCACTGAAAACTAAAGAACTAGCCTGATATTTCTGATAACTCTGAATGAATCTGGTAGTGGTGGAGTGGTGGGGATTTCTATTGGAATTGTCTGGATAATTACGTTATACACTACTTGTGATTGACCCACAGGCCTTGTCGAAGAGTCTATCAGGGTCTGATTTTCTAAGAGAATTGTATTAGTCCTTATTCTTCTTCCATTGGCCCGGTCTCATTCAGCCCTTATGGTGCCACCACCATCACCCCTCTTCCTCCCAAGAATAAAAGAAAACGAAGAGTGGGATAAAGAGAAGGAAGAAATTCAAGATAGGGAGAAGGCATGGATGAGGCAAAGTGGGAAGGGGAAGGAAAGAAGGATAGAAGGCATTTCAGAGACATGTGCACCTTCAGGACAAAACTGAAATGAATTTGAATCCAAAAAACAAACGAACAAACAAAATCACTAACAACAACAACAACAACAAAAACCTGGAATTTTACCTTGTTCCGCCCTATCTCAAACTTACCTTAGTGGGATTGTGCCAAGTCTTCTTCATCAAAGCAAAGCATAGAGTGGAAGGGATTATCTAAGATATTTTTTCAATGCTTCTATTTGAAATGTAGGGATAATTGGTATAAAACTTTCCACTGAGTCCTCATTTGTTAATGTTGCATGGGCTTCAGCTGACTCCCCAGGTTTGCTGTGTCCTTTTACAAAATTTTCTTTACCCTCATGGACCAAAACTCTCAGGTAAACAATCTCCTTAGATACAAAGCTAAATGACTGACTTACCTGGGATTGAGGATGTGTCCTCATACTTCCAAAGCAAAAAAAGAAAGCCAATGAGCAGTAGGATTGGCATGGTGGTAACAGGCACAGCTTTGGGCACCATGCTGGTAATGTTATAATGCATTGAGTTCAGCATTTCCAAAACCATCTTGTGTTCGTTGATCTCAGGAGAAGCAACTTAAAGTCCTGTAGAAATCAAAGGGGCAGAAAAATTAGAGAATCCCCCAAAAGGTACAACGAGGACTCCTGCCGCTTCAGAGGATGCTGTAGTATAGAGATCGGCACTTTGTTTTATAATGCAAGTGCGCCCTTAGACAAGACAAATTTGTGGTTACAAGTCAAAACAAGTAAGCACAAGAGAGATCTTTTGGCTTGAAGTACAGCATTTCTGACCTTGGTAGAGTCTCAGGTTCATTTAGACGCTTGATCTGATAGAACTTTATCATCTTGCCCTTGAGTGGGTAGAGTAACTAAATTCCCAATTGACAGCCAAATTTCTTACCAAGATACAAGAAAATGGAGTTCATTCCTGAAGGGGGAGTCATTCTGTGACTTACTCAGCAGATTTTGTTTAGACAATATTTTCTCTTTAAAGTCCAATCAGTTAAAAAAAAAAAAAAGAAAGAAAGAAAGAAAGAAAGAAGAAAAAGTAATACCCAACGCCCTCTCTTGCTTAAAATTGCTCCTCCCCCTGCTGCCCCCCACAAAATAAGCTACTCCAGCAAGAATATGTTTCTTGGGCATTGGTGAAGCATTCTCAGATCCTCCCATTAGATTGTCTATTGAATTCAATGTAACTCACTCAGGACAAGTGAGGCTTAAAATCTCTTGCATTGTGGGCTGGATTAAGCAGTGCCCAAAGGGGGTCAGTGTCAGGGGGAGTAGGAAAGAAAAGTGGAGGAGGAAGAAAAAAGAGAGAGAAGAAAGAGACAAAATGGAGAAGGAAGAAAAACAGAGAGGACAGACAGAGTAGAATGCCACCAGCAATAGGCTAAGGTGCCACTCAGCAACCTCGGTCCTCACAGCAGCTAACCTCCTCCACAAGATAATTTTCAGTTGATTTGCTGGTTCTGTTATGTTTTTCATCAACGTAATGTTTAGTCTGTCTTTTCAGTAAGGTTTTCTAATACCTATACTCTCAGAAGAGAGTTTCAGAGATGCTGGTTTGTTGAGAGACCTAGATCGAATAGATTTGTACAGCGAGGAAAGAGCAATCACTCAACGCAGTTCCCGGTGCCAGATGACTGCTCCACGGTTGACCTTCCCTTGGAAAGTGCCTGAAGTTTCCAGGACTTTCAATGGCTCTGAAACAGGTTTTGCTTGGGTTTTACCTAGTAATAAAGTTCTAGATTCTTAGCCATGGCTTCTAATTGAATTTCAAGGACTCTGTGAACTTCCCAAAATGCTGCATAAAATGTTCTATCTGTTCATCTGCACTTTTCAGGAGAAAGAAGCCATAACTCTCAACACATTCTTAAAGAGTATGTAAATATATTTCTCCTCTAATCTATATAAGATCTTAACCATTCAGTCAGACCCATATCTGGCAACTACAGAAATTTCAAAATAAGGTTGAATTCATTCATTTGTTTGGTTCATTCTATTTTTCCACTATTTAAATAACCAAGGCACTGAAAATGCCTGCACATATCTTGGGCAAAGAAGGACCCAGTAATTTCTCTTCTGGGTATTTATCTCAAGAAACCCAAAACACTAATTCCAAAAGACATGTGCATCCATGTGTTCATTGCAGCATTATTTACAATAGCCAAAATATGAAAGCAATCTAAGCGTTCATTGACAGATGATTGCATAAAGGAGAAGTGGTACATATATACAATGGAATATTACTCAGCCCTAAAAGAATAAAATCTTGCCATCCGCAACAATGTGGGTGGAGCTAGAGGATATTATGCTGAGTGAAATAAGTCAGTGAAAGACAAATACCCGTGATTTCACTAATATATGGAATCTAAAGAACAAAACAAACAAAACAGAAACAGACTCATAGATACAGAGAACATTTTGATGGTTGCCTGATGGGAGAGAGATTGGGGGTAGTGAAAAAAAGAGAAAGGATTAAGAAGTACAAATTGATAGTTATAAAATAGTCATGGAGATATAAAGTATAACAGGGAATGCAGTAAATATTGTAATAACTATGAATGGGTCAGATGGGTACTAGATTTATTAGGGTGATCATAGATTATAAAAATGTGTAATCACTATTTTTATACCTGAAACTAATATATTGTATATCAGCTGTAATTGAAAAGTGAAAAATTATTTTAAAAAAATAAAGACCCACTAGGATAAGAATTTTTTTAACGTTACAAAGTATTTGGTATATGCCAGAGGTTGTTCCAAGCACTTAATATTAAGCCATTCTTCCTCACAACAGTCATATGAGCTAAGTATGAGGATTCCCATTTTACAGATGAGGAAACTGAGGCGTAGAGAAGGATCTTGCCCTAGGACACCAAGTTTATTTGTTGCGGAGCTGGGATTGGAGTTCATGTAGGCTGTCTCCAGAGCCCATGCTCTTAATCATGCCATTTTGCTGCCTATTTTGGGATTCATTTGTGCCTACATTCAGGGACTTTTCAGTCATTTATGTTCATTCCTGGGCTATTCAGAATGACTCCCTTTAAAACAGTAATCTTTTCAGACCTCCGAAGAAAAAGATTCTCTCCACCTTGCGCGTTCTGATGGGCCATGCAGACAGGTTAAACAGAGGCCTTTGAATGGTGGTACAGGAATATAGCAAGGTCCTAGAACTTTATATAGAGGTTGCTTATATGCCTTGGGTACCAGGAATACTCTTCTCTCACCCTCAAACATACGTATACACACATGGCCCTCAAGTGCCATACACCTTTAAAGTCCATCTCAAATGCCTGGATATCTAGGAATTTATTTGCAGAGTGGTCTCCATTCTCCACTTGCTGGGGCATCCCACACTGGCCGTGGCACTAAGCAGGGGCTCCAGCCACCTGATAAACCAGGCCTGTGATCCTGTGCTGGGTGGAGCTGCGAGCATTCTGATGAACACTTTCACTTATTGCCTCACCAACCTCAGCGCAGGGAAATGCCAGTGCTACACCCAGAGTCCTCAGTCTGAGCAAAGGCAAAGGCCCCTAGGGATACAGCAGAGCCTGGGTATCCTGGTGACATTGAAGTCAAGACACAGCCTGGGCCCCACAGTACCAAGAGGGGTTCCTAGATGCCCTGATACAGCCCTGACCCTCGGCAGAGTGGAGAGTGAGGCCCTAGCCTTGCAGAAATGCTGCCCAGCCTGGCCAGACCCTACCAAACCCTACCTTGAAGTAAGGAGACAACCTGTCCAGCAGGAAGACAACCCAACTACCCTGAGTGCCAAGCCTTCCTTCCCATTATTTCTAGCACACCTCTTTTGTCCCTCTTTATGAGGCCTTCCCAACACCCCAGAAATGAGACCCAGCCACCTTGGTTCTCCCCGCTGCACCTTCTGATTTGGGACCCCCACAGAGGGCTTCCTCTTCAGCTGCTGCTAGGACCAAGACAGATGTGACCTCAGACCCCAGGGGCTCACAGACAGTGTTAAAGAAGGGAAGGTATAACACTTACTGAACAGTTCCCCAAGTGAAGGAGAGAGAGTGTCCTGTCCTGGGAAGGGGCTGCTGAGTGGGACTAGGAACTGAGAGGGGTGAGAGTGGTGGGCGAGTCAGCACAATGCCAAGCTGAAAGAAGGCTCAACAAAGAACAGAAAGAAGGCTGGTGACCCAGGGCTCAGAGAAGGGGGAGGGAAAAGTGGGGATGGAGACAGTGATAGAGGACCCATGTACAAAGCCTTGCAGTCACATTAATGATGTTAGAATTTCTCCTAAGAGAAATGAGAGACAACTGAAGCAAGGGGTCAACAAACAAATAACCCATGCCTACTGCTTCCATTTCCTTTCAACCCATTTCTCTTAACTCCTGGCTTTTGCTTCAATTACATTCATGATAGCAGTCTTTCAGAGGTTACATATGACCTTGATACTGCCCAATCCACACTTTACCTTCATCTTTGTTCTTCTTGATCTCACCCTGTGGCATTGGACCCAGCTGGCCATTCTTCCTTCTTGTATCTTTTCGTCTATGGTTTTTTATGATAGACTTTTCCTTTTCTCTCATTATTCCTTTTTATTCCTCTGTGCCTGTTTCTAGTCCCCCTGCAGTTACCAAGCCTAAGTACTTTGTCTCCTATGCTTCATATTCCTTTTGAGAACTTACTTTTCCTGACTTTAGCTCTCATTGCTGTTTGGGTTCACCCTAGTTCCCTTCTTGGTCCTGTCCTCTCTCTTTAACTCCATATCTGAAGCCCCAAATGCCTAGTGAACCTTACCACTTAGATGTCTCACTATCACTCCACACATATCTAAATCCATCAACTTTCTCCTAACCTCTTCCTCATGCTCCAACCTTCTTATACATCATTTTCCTAATCATTCAGCTTTAAAGTCTGTTTTTTCACTTATTCCTATCCCTTCCTTTCTTACCCATCTCTATCCTTCACCATAGCCTAAACGTGTCCAGTCACAAAGTTCTAAGAATATTCTCTACAAAAAGCCTTGTTCCTGATTTATTTCCCTGAACATTCTTTCCTTCTGGTTCATATCTTAATTTGTATAATGGACTTTAACTCTGCCCCTTGTATGTTTATGATCAAAGCATATTGATCATATCCTCAGTGGTCAGTTGGAGGCAAATTTCTATCTGCCTTCTAGATTCTTGCCAAAAATTACTTTAAACTCCCTAATCCTTTTTTTTTTTTTTTTTTTTTCAAAATGTTCTGTTGTGAAAAATCCATTAGATATTGCTGGTGGACCCTTTATCCACTGTGGGAAGTCCCAAAATCTGATGCCTTCAAGGTTCTTCACAGGTGACACAAATAAGGTGAGTAGGCTTGTAGAACATTATAGAACATAGTCCTCTCAAAATATCAGGCATGATGCCAAACAAAACATCTCTTCATGGGCCAGATTTGCAGCCTTTACTTAGTATCTGAATCAATTGCCATGACCCAATGAGTTGTACACTTGGATCTAGTTGTGTCCTTTCTGCAACTGCCTTTGCCTAGTCATGCTTTGGTGCCAGTCCATAAGCTAACTCTGAGTGATTTTATAAGATCAGCCATATGTACTTACTGTTTTTTGCGAAGGAGA